CTTTGTAGCAGACACGCCGGCCAGGCCGAGAAATGCTTGCGGGAAGTCAGAGGTACACTGGAGACTTTATCTACCTGTTGGCTCGAAGAAGGTGTGGCTTGGGTCGCTTAACGTCCTTTACAGGAACCTGTCCTCGCCATTTTGGAGGTTTATGTAAATAGTTAAAAATTCAATGGTAAGCATATTTTACGATAAGTAATAATTAGTAAATTTAAAAGTTGGGAAAAACATGTAAAGGAAAGTTAAGGAGTTATAAAATATGAAGGCGAGGTGTCGGGTTTGAAAGAGTCCAAGATTACATAAAATCGATATCGGGTAACTAAGGTAAGAGGTTTAAACTATCACAGCTCAGGTGTCAATTGATCGTAGAAATGCCATCTGTTTTCAGGCACCATACAGGTACGGTAAAACACTTTTACGGTACATGCGTGGAGCCTGGAAAATGTCACATTGAACATTGACACATGCATTATAAAATAAAGTTTTAGCAAAGTAAATTAAAAAGTAATTCAATTTTTATTATTATACAGTATTCAGTATGTAAGGATATGTGTTAAGTATGTGTGTCACTGTGTGTACTACATACACTGTAGTACACACAGTGACACACATACTTTAATACTTGACTCTCTCTCTCTCTCTCTCTCTCTCTCTCTCTCTGTCACTTTCTCTCACACACACATGTATACATCCTATACTGTATATACACTAATAATTATCATTAATTCTAGCATATATAGGGCTTTTTTTCTAGAAAAATAAAATAGGTTTTCATGTATTGTTTGGATTTTGTGTGTGTAAATTCTAAATGATGTGCTTGAACACTTGTTTGTCATTTGAAAGACAAATGCAATTATTTAATCCAAACAAAAAGATAAGACCCAAGGTTTTTAAATGTATCTTAACATTTACCCATGCCCGGCTCGCTAGCATAGTTGGTTAAACCTGACTTCGCTGTGACCGGGTGACGAACTTCTTGCGGTCCGGGTTCACTCCCGGGGGTAGGCAGAAAAGCCACATTTCCACATTTACGGTACCTATCATGGAATCAAGGCCGAATGGTTGCGATATCCATAGTACCGAGCCAAAGGGTTAACAACTCATGGTTTCTGGATATTTAAAAAAAAAATGTACCCAGAAAAGAAAGCCTTATGTACTGCCGAAGTGTGGTTGTAGTCATTTACAGCACATATTTTACAAACTTTTTTAGTAGTATATGTTGAGTCATTATTTGTAACGCATTTTTGGCTTAGGCGTTGCGAGTCCAACTCGTAATTCCAATGTACCGCGATCAAAATCAACTGCTGGCTGCATGTATTTTTATCATGGTATGGGGCGTTGCAGGTCAACCCAGCCTAAAATGGCTATCAGGATGGCTGTCCTGGGGAAGTAAAGTTAACTCTTTGAGTCCCAAGGGTTTAGCATCACAGGCCCAAGGGGTAATCAAGAGAGACGTAAAATCATCAAGAGAGACGTAAAATCGGCGCATCATGCGTTCACTGGGCCTCTAGGTAGGAATCTATGAACGTATGATGCATTCCTTGGGACTCAAAGAGTTAAAAGACGGCTGGCGTAATGCTGACCACATTTCCCACCTTGTGCCGATTGGTCTGTAAAAATATGGAATGCTCTTCCAAAATGCCGGATTCACCTAAAGGTGTGAAAAGGGATCTTTACTTCACTTACTTATATTATTTTTAACAGTTATTTCTAGCTGACTGCTTGAGATGAATCATGTAACTAACAGTGGACCACATGTCATCACACAAATTACCAGACCGGATTTGTGGAAATACTGAAGTTGAATCCCATTAGCATTTTTCCAGACATCATTGTTATCAGTGCGCAATGAAAGAGAATAGATTATTCACTCTCTCTCAGATGGTTTAGGTTGCCGGCTTTTCTCAAGCATCTCATCTCGCTGGTGGTGATTTTATGTAACTGGCCTTTAAATATATTTCTAGATAATAGTGTTATACTATGCTGTAGGGACGCATGGGAAACACAGTTCATGGCAGTGCCAAGTATGGCTAATCCAGAGCACAAATCCAACATTAGTAAAACCCTGAAACCCTGTTCAACCATAAAAACAGTTAAACTAGGGCACCTGAATGTTGTGAAGTAGCATGCTGTCCATTTTAGTGGGGAGGCTGGTGAGTTTTGACAGCAAACAGATACTTTCTGGGATGTGTTCTTAAATGTGAGACTTTATGCAGATCATTTGTTCGTTGCACTGGCACCTTTCTGTCTTTCCCGCTGATAGTGTTTGATTGTGCCATGGGGAGGACTGAGAATTACAGCCCATGGAGACAGCTAGTGTGACTAGAAAGATTCGCCCGCATTAAGAAAAGTCTTTCACATTTACAGCATAAGATTTTAGGAGCTCTCCCCGAAAAAACAAAAACAACAACAAACCCTGAGCAGTCTTGTAGAGATCATGTGTCGCCCATGCATCATGATCCTTCTCTAAACCTTGCCTTGTTTACTCAAGATCAAAGGTAACACCAGTATGTTTGGAACAATGCAGGCTGCAGATGCTGCTAGAGCAGAAGAGCAGTGCTTTATCCACCTGTTGGAGCTCCTCTCCTAGACCAGCTACTACCCAGGTCTTAGGACTTGGTTTACCCTAAAATTAAGTTGTCAGGCTGCATTTCCTTTTCTTAGGAAAAAGCTAGTAACCTTCCCAATAGACTCCACTGCTCAAAGCCATTGGCACAGTGTATACTGAAGCTGAGTACCAGCCAAATACTATACTAAACTGGGACCTGTAGTGCCATCTACGTTAACCACTCAAGTGTAGTTAGGTTTATGTGGAGTGTTTTGAGCCATGAGTGAACCATGGACATTTGGATCCTGGACAGATAAAAAAACGAGTAATGAAGATCTTGATAGAAACTGGCTCATGAAGAGAACTGTTAGCCCACATCAGAAGGAGACACTCTTCATTTTTTGGTCACATCATGAGAAGGAGAAAACTGAAAAACATCATGATCGTGGAAACACTGGAGAGAGAAAGAGGCAGAGAGAGACTGAGAGAAAAGGTGCTGGACAGTTTGACAACATAACATATAAGATCGTCTGTGTCAGAATAATTGACCCACTGCCTCCCCATAAGCATGTCGTAAGAGTCGACTAATTGGGGAGCTTCCTTTGAAGTCAAAGTGCATCTGCCGGAGAGGCAAGGAACCAACAGTCTGTATTCAAGAGAATGAGATCTGTAAAACTGATGCACACGCAACACTCAGGTTCTGGAGCAGGACTGCAGTTCAGTAGTGGACGAGCAACCATAACTTTCCGCCAGAGTGTACATCTGGTGAACGCGAAGAAGACGAAGATGAATTAAAAGTACACAAAATAGAATGTCATAGATAGACGTGACTACCAACACCATACAGCATGGATTATAAGAAAACAAAGATCCTGTTCAAGTGGCAGATTTTCACATCGACTGAGCTTGGAATTAAACAGCAGTAGAAGCAAATATCTCCCTTATCCATCATAAGTCTGGAATCTCCCTTATCCATCATAAGGATGGAATCTCCCTTATCCATCATAAGTCTGGAATCTCCCTTATCCATCCTAAGCCTGGATTATCCCTTTTCCATCATAAGTCTGGAATCTCCCTTATCCATCAAAGTCTGGAATCTCCCTTATCCATCATAAGTCTGGAATCTCCCTTATCCATCATAAGTCTGGAATCTCCCTTATCCATCCTAAGTCTGGAATCTCCCTTATCTATAATAAGTCTGGAATCTCCCTTATCCATAATAAGTCTGGAATCTCCCTGATCCATCATAAGTTTGGAACACCTTGCGTATGAGTAATATGTTTCTGGCAGCATATATTTATGTTAGTGCAGTGATATAGAAGCTAGACACTCACCGACCTGCTAAAAAATCTAGGGATCAAATCTGCATTATGGTGGATTGTTTTCAAAATTGTCTTTGGTTCCTTGATCAACCTAGCTGGAAATGGGTACCAGGTAATGTACTGGGAAGTAAAGGTGGCCAGTGTGAATTTACCACATCACCCATCGAGTGTGATTAGTCTACAAAAATATAAGTCTAGCACTATGCACCCGATGTGTCAAAGGCACAAAAAGGGCTCTCTGCTTTACTTGCCATATTTTACAGTCCACTGAATAGGCGAATTAGTTAGTACCATGCCAGCTTTCTTTGAAAACCCCTAAGGTAATTTTCTGGTTCTGTCCATCCTTACCCCCATAAAGACTGCAGGTTACACCCACCTGGTATAGCCATCGCGGGTGCCCTAATTAAAACTTCTTTGGAGGTTGAACGGGCATCTAGGGTCTGCCTTGTTGGTCTGCTGTCCAAATTGAGATTTTCTATCTCAAAATGGTATGGTAAACTCTTTTGTAGCGGCCTGGAAGAGACAAACTCACTGATAGATTAGTCAGTCTGGTGCCATTTCTAGGCTGCGTCCACCAGGGAGCCTGGGTCAGTGTTAAAAGTCCACCTTGATGTGTTTCACAGCCTATTATCTACATAACTTCCCCCCTCTGGGTTCCAGGGCCCCTAACAAGCAGGCTGTAGAAGGCAACTGATTAGGGGTGTTTTCTTAAACTTGGAATGCATCTGCCTGAGAGGCTGGAGACCAACAGTCTGCATACTGTAAAATTGATGTGCATGCACAACTTAGATTCTGGAACAAGATCAAAGTCAAGAAGTGGACATACATCCAGGACTTTCCTCCAGAGTTTACAGCCGATGAATGTGAAGAAGAAGAAGAAGACATTACTAAAAATCAGTACCAACAAATTATATTGGAAGAAAAGTAGCGAGTATGAAATCTACTGCATTACCCAATTCTTTAATGAAGAAATAGTAATATAAATAAGGTCACCTTTCACACGTTTCTTTAAAACACCTTTCAGACACCATTAACTTGAATGGGCGGAAAAAACTTACAGAGCAGAACTGTAACATTTGAAACCCTGTCGAGGACAGTTTACAAACAGAATCAGCTGCAGTAAGGAAAAAATGAACAGCTCAGGTAACATTGATCATATTAGCAAGGCTGAGGATATAGAATGGCAAATAGACTCTGAATGGATCAGCTTGTCTGCTAGTACCCCACCATCAGTTTTTCCGGTAACCAACAAGAAAAAGAAACAAAGCAAACAAAAGTGTTCAGATGCTGAGGTATCTAAAATCACCAGTTTCAGTTTCATTCCTACCAGCAGAGGTGGCAGACATTTAGTGGTTGACAGCCAGACTTTTCGGTTGAGTCAGCATAAAGCAGCCGGGTTTTCCTACTGGATTTGTAGCATTCCTTCTTGCGCTGCTTGGTGCATGTTAGATGCTCAGGAAAAACGGATGATTCAGTCTTACAGAGACCACAATCATGAAGTCGGAATAAGTCAGAAAGAGTTCAAAGATTTTATTACTGCCCTAAAGAATGCTGTTAAAGAGAACCCTCATATGAAACCGAAAGTTATTTATGATATAGAAGTTGAGAAAATAAGACAGCAGTTGAAAGATAACAATCTGGGAAATAGAACCAATGGAGTGAAAGATTTTTTGCCTAGTTTCGAAGCAGTTCATGCAGCAATGCTAAATACCAGGAATGCTGTACTGTCAGCAGTTTCTCTCAGCGTTACAGGGGATGAAACATCAGTGACAGAAGTTCGTTACTCCAGTCCGCACAAGTTCACAAGATCCAAAGATGGAAAGACCAACAAAAAGCAGAGATCAACACATTCTCTGATTTCCCGCTCTTTTGATATTGATAACATGGTAAGAATAATATGTAGTGTCATAGTTTGTATTGTTTACTGTTCTGGCATGGTTCATTTACAGAGTTGTTTCTTTTACATGTCTGCATAAATTCTCCCACCTTAGACTTCAGGGGAGACCAAGGTTATACAGGGTGTAGCCGTTATGAGTGTCCTAATTATAACTTCTTTGAAGGTTAAACCAGGTATCTGTAATCGCCCCATTGGTTTGCCATCTAGTATGCAAACACTTAAAAACATAGGGGTCATTAAATCTTCACGTGACATGGTTAAACCTTCACTTAACACGGTTAAACCTTCACATAACACAGTTAAACCTTCACATAACAGCCTGGAGAAAGAAAACAGGCAGACAGACATCCTCACTATATTCTGTCTTAAAATGTGTCAAGCACACAGGAAAACCATCTAGACAGATGTCTTGGATGGCTCAAGCTGAAGACACAATTAGACATGTGTGTAGGTTTGATAAATGTGGGCGAGGAGAGGAATGGGTCAAAGTGTCAGAGCAGGGATCAAGCTTGTGTAGGGTTCTAATCACTTTAGGTTGTGAGTGCAGGACCTGGCCAGCTGGTGCTGCAGAATTAGAAGTTCAACTAATGATTCATGACAATTCCCACCCAGGTAATGTGTTTATTAATATAGATGGCTCTTTGTTGAGAGGTTAACGAAGTGCATAGGGGTTCATAGCAAAAGCCAGTGGACGTCGCTTAGTGCAACAAAGCCTGGCATATGATGAACGGAGGTGCAGGCAGTCACTGCTGCCTTCCGCTGTCTTGAGAATTAGCTGTATACACATGCCATAATTGTCCCTGACTCACAGAGTATGTTGAGAAAGGTGTAGATAGGTATGCTTCATGCAGAGTGGCAAGCATCTCTTCAGAGTTCCCAGGTAGTTGGCGTCCTTTGGATATTTACTCCAGGTGATGCTGGTGCATTGGGGAATGAGCAGGCAGATAGACTGACTAGTTCTGCACCCCTTGGTGGTGAACTGACGTATGACAAGCTGGATTTTGTGATGACCCTTTGGGAGCGAGTAAACCGTGAGGAGGCACAAAAAGATAATTATGGTCTGAGGAGAATGGTGCCGCAGGGAGCTACCAGGGTATCTGGCAGACGCTCAGCACTCAAGGCGGAGGTGAGACAGATGTATAATCAGACAGTTACTGGTACAGTCGGAATTGGAACTCTTTGCTTGCTGCTGCAGATGGGGGATGAAGTATTTATGGGAGTGCCCCGAATGCTATGATGTCGATTCTTAATTCAACATATACACTCCGGTGGAAAGGTCTGGTTGTTTGTCCACTCTTGGACTTTGACCTTGATCCAGAACTTGAGTTTTGCATGCACATCTGTTTTACAGATCTAGCTTATTTGAAAGCAGACTGTTGGCTCCTTGCCTCTCAGGCAACTTTCAAGGAACCACCCTTAAGCAAATGCTTCCTTCAACCTACTTGTTGGCGGGTCACTGTGTCTATCCATAGCATAATTTATTTCGTGACTCAGAAATGAATGTAAGATCTCTTAGTCCCTCAGCATTACTTTCTTCTGACACCTTTCCCTCTTCATACAGCTTTCCTCACTCACGCATCCTAAAATCAAAATTAAAAAAATATGCAATTAAGATTTCTTCATTGTTTGTTATAGGGCATGTTTGATAAAAGGTGGGCAGCTATTTTTGGCACCTTATCCTTTATAGTTTCCTATACATTACCTTTATCATTTTATTTTTTCTCAATTGAGCTATTGTGTCTATTTACATATTTTTTTCATAAAATAAGTCCTTTTACAGTGGAACCTCGCTTAATGAGCATAATTCGTTCAAGAATCATACTCGTTAAGCGAAACACTCATTATGCGAAGCAATTTTTCTCATATTAATTATTGTAAAATACAATAATGCGTTCCATGTAGAAAAAATACTCACAGAATGCTATGTATAAGTTATACTATAACATTTATTCAAAGAAAATTATATACATATTTAAGGAGAGTGAATCAGCTTCATCTTTTCTTCAAAAGCGGAACGAACCCACATGGAATGCGAATTCGATTTGCAGGAAAAAAAGTCGAAATAATTATGATACACAGCTAATGATTTTTTTACTAGAAAGATGTCCAGAGACATTTGTTTTTGTCGAAGCTTCCAAATTTGCAGCACGCATAGCCACTTCCTTATTAGGGTGATGCTTCTCAATCTTCTTCGCCAGAAGATTGTTGCTTTTCTGTTACCTTCTCCTCCTCCTCCTCTGACAAACTTTCCTCCAAAACGTCTTGCTGTGAAACACAATGCAACTTCATAAGCTCTTCGATGGTCAGCTCTTGGCTGTGCTCTTCCACAAGCTCTTTGATATCACTGTTATCCACCTACAATCCCATGATAGTGGCCAAAGACACAATCTCGTTGACTACAGGTTCCACAGGTACTGTCTCGAACCCCACAAAGTCACAAATCAACACTCTCCGGCCAGAGCTTTCTCCAAGAAGAAGTTAGGGTTCTCTTGGTAACCCCTTCCTCCGCCTTGTCGATCATCTTGAGGCAGGCAACGATGTGGAAGTGATTTTTCCAAAACTCTTTGAGAGCGAGGTCGGTCCCTTCAGTCACTTAAAAACAATGCTCGAAGAGTGCTTTAGTGTAGAGCTTCTTAAAGTTAGAAATAACTTGCTAGTCCATGGGCTGGAGTAACATAGTGGTGTTGGGAGGCAAAAACTGGATCTTGATAAACTTAAATTCTTCAGGGAGGTAATCTTGTAGGCCTGGAGGATTCATTCACATATATCACAATATAACACACAAGTTTGAGAAAATGTGTGATCACAAGCGACAATGCTACTGGAACGAGTGATAAACACTGATGTAACATGCGCACAATCCGGGACTTCCCCTCTCCTCGCCGCTCGTTATGCAAAACGTCGCTCGTTAAGCGAGTCATTTTTTTTACAATTTGTTTTGCTCGTTATGCGAATTACTCATTATGAGAGGTGCTCTTTAAGCAAGGTTCTACTGTATTATATAAAAAAATAAATATAAAGTTGTTACTTCCCCTTAATTTTTGTTTGTATATTATTTTTATGAATCTTGTTACGATGTTCTTTTTAAGTCATCTTGCTAGTTGTTTGTACCTTGTTATTGTATTTATCATTTTGCATGGAATGTTTTATTCCATATTAGTTTTTCTGTCTGCTTGCTTCCATTTGGGGGGGGGGGGGGGGGGTTTAAATTTATCTAACATTTTTTCTTTATTTGTTCTTCTTATTGAGAAGAAAACTAACTTTTATTATGCTGTGACAGTTCCGTGTGTAAGCACCAGCAAGGAAATCAAAGTATAAATTTAAAAGCCTGCATCTTCCCTGTATAGCGCCATATGGAAGTGAGTCTTGGACTATCTTGCCTTGATTCAGGAAGAAAATAGGGCTTTTAAAGTTCTATAGAAAAATACCTTGGACCAAGAAGCAAAGACATTCTGACATCCAGAAAGATTTGAACATCCAGAAAGATTTGAACATACAGGAAGATTTGAACATCCAGAAAGATCTGAACATCCAGGAAGATTTGAACATCCAGAAAGATCTGAACATCCAGAAAGATCTGAACATCCAGAAAGATCTGAACATCCAGGAAGATTTGAACATCCAGAAAGATCTGAACATTCAGAAAGATCTGAACATCCAGAAAGATTTGAACATCCAGGAAGATTTGAACATCCAGAAAGATTTGAACATCCAGGAAGATTTGAACATCCAGGAAGATTTGAACATCCAGGAAGATTTGAATATCCAGGAAGATTTGAATATCCAGGAAGATTTGAACATCCAGAAAGATCTGAACATCCAGGAAGACTTGAACATCCAGGAAGATCTGAACATCCAGAAAGATCTGAACATCCAGAAAGATCTGAACATCCAGAAAGATCTGAACATCCAGGAAGATTTGAACATCCAGGAAGATTTGAACATCCAGGAAGATTGGTAGTAAACAGCATCTTGTCTCAGAAACAGGCATATTTTGGCCGTATCAAGCACCCTGGTGGATTGGAAAGAATAGTACCGAAGGGCTTGGTACCAGGAAATAGGGGCAGGGGCCAACCAGAACAAAGATGGGCACATGATACAAGAGACTCCTTGGTTAGAAAATATTGAGATTCTTTCAGGCAGGCTGTGATGAGAGCCGTGTGCTGGAAGTGACTTGCTATATGATGATGACAGATGTATTTCTGTAAGAATTATTGCTAATGACTTACATTTCAGAATAGTATCTATTATTATTTTTTTGTAAAAAAAAAACCCACTAATTAATATCAGCGCCTTTATGTCATTTCCCTGTGTGCATGGGTGGATGAAAAGAGTGAAAAAGCAAGGAGAGAGACTTCACATATTAGTTTTGTAGTTTTTAAAAATAATGTTTTTGTTCTCATATATTTTAGGAATTTTCTACTGCATGCAGAATTTCAAACATATTGTTTCACTTTAAATATATTTGTTTCTTTGCACAGGCATAGATTAACTAATGCTGTTTATTGCACACATAATAATTATTAGAATAGATATTTGCTTATGCAGCATTCACTTTTGTACCATTTCTTCTTTGAAAATGCTACCTAGGATGCCTAAAAGGTTGGTGACTTTATTTGCCTCTTTCATGGTTTAAACTGTAATTTTTATTTTCATCATCTCCACGAGTTCCGTGGCTCTATTTTGGGGTAAAACAAAGAATAGACCCACATCTCCTGAAACCTGTCATAAAAGGCGACTAAGGATTTTGCTAAAATTTGATACTGAGCCGAAAGGTGCAGCTTTGCTGTAATCCACAATACAATGTGTCAACCGCCCTTTAAAGGGCGAACGCAGAAAAAGAAGAATTTATCCTCATTATAATCTTGTACCATGACTGATAACATAAGCATTCATGCTCATCTTTAGATCGCTATTTCTGGTGTTCTGAATTTATTCTCCCTGTGTGGGTTTTAGGGTCCCATTGTGGCGAAAACAAGAATAGACCCATTGCCTGCACACACAAAAGGCATATTATAAAAGTTGACTAATTGGTTGCTTCCTTTGAAGTCAGAGTGCATCTGCCCGAGCAACAAGGAACAACCATTGCACATAATTTAGCCAATAAAATAGACGAAAACCAGAACTTTCTGCCGCAGCTTACAGCCAGTGAACAAAGAAGAAGAATCTGTTCTGTCAATGATATTACTTCATGTCATCTTCTAGATCCATCAGAAGGTACAGGTCCTTTACAGAAACTTTGCTTTTATCACGGCACACAGAACAGCAATTTTCTGCCAACTTTTCCGCCTTGTGAACTTGCATGCCCAGGGCGACCTTGACATCCTGTGTTCACCATGGTGCTGCTCAACCTGTCTCTTCTCTAAGGAACCATAGCCTTCATTGGCATAAATTGTTTATTGCTATTTGTGATTTTCCTAATGAACATCAGTCTTAATAGTGCTCTTGACAGAGCTCATCAACGAACGTTACATCTTCCCCTGACACTTTGATGAGGTACAAGGTGGAAGAGAAGAAGAAGAAGTGATTTTTCTAGGCAGTTCTATTAGTTTCCTGGCATAACTACACCAGTGTACATCAAAGGTCACAAATTACAACAAGTCAGTCATTTCAAATATTTAGGATCCATTTTAAGGGACCCAACATGCAGACCATAAATCATGACCAGAATTGTCCAGACAAAATCGATCCTCGCCAGACAGCAAATATTATGGAGAACCAAAACCATTTCATTTAAAACTAAGCTTTGACTGCTAAGAGCACTAGGCTATTAGTATGTTTACCTATGGCTTTGAAATGTAGACTTTATTAGTGAACTCATGGAATGACTGAAGGCATCAGGACAGGAAGAGATCTCTAAAACAGGCCTTTTGTTCACTTCGTATATTGTACCTTTTAAGGTCTCAGATATTTATGCGGTCCATCTTCTGTGTGGTCAGTCTCTGGATATGTTACTACTGTATAGTATAACATTGCTCTCTGTGGTGCCTTGTCTGATGCCAATCTTTTTACATGGCCAAATCATTTGATTTGTTGTCTACCTATAAAGTTCAGTGTTGGTGTTGTGCCGACTCTCCTCCTGATATCATCGGTCCTGTCGATTTTTCCTCGTTACACCTAGCATAGTACGTAAACATTTCATTTCTGTCGTGACTATTTTCCTTCTGCATTCTGAAGTCATTGTCCATGTTTGACATTGATAGCATAGTGTTGGTAAGAATATTGTGTTGAACAGTGTTCTTTTAGTGTCCATATTCACATGCTTGCATTTCAAAATTGGTTCCATTTGGCCTAAAACTTGATTGGCTTTATTGCATCTTTGTTCGATTTCTTTATTAACTGTTCTTTCTTCTGATAAAATGCTCCCCGGATGTGAGAAGTCTTTCACCTGCTTGTACTCTTGCATTATTGAAGAAAAATAGAAGGCATGGTTCCTGGAAGAAGAGGTACAGGTAGACTGGTACAGAGGTGGAAAAAAGGATATTGTAGACACCTTGTGCATAAAAATACATGAGGCAGCAGACCTGGGAAGCGACTGGCATCTTCCCATGTACAAAGTGGCTTGCATGATTTGATAAGACTCAGATCAGGAGCGTATCATGGATTTTCTGTCCAGACTATTTAGCTATGCAGGGTAATGAGCAGGATGATAGATTGGCTGCTGCCATTCCTTTGGGTGGTGGACTATTTTTGATAAAGTGGACATGGTGAAGGCTCTCAGGGATCAAATGAACAGTGCAGTAGTATAGATAGATAATCTATACCTTGAAAGACTAGTTCAATGTGGGTTGAGTAGAGGTTCTGGAAGATAGTCAACATTGAAGAGGGAACAGAGTCGGACTTTTAATCAGGTAGCTACTGGTACTGTTAGCGTGTTGACCATCTGTTGGCTACTGAGGAAGGAGATGGAGCACTTATAGGAATGTCCTGAGTGCATTGATGTCAGTTTTTGATTGATTGATTCATTCTTTCCATTGAAACATGGAGGCAGATATTCAGCGAGTGGCCTGTGCTGAATAGTTACCCCATTTCGCAAACTGTTTGTTGGATACAACTGTTTTTGGTTAGATAAGAATTATCTAATAATTATCACACGAGTCACTGCCTTGTGGGATGAAATTTTTCAATATTTTGAAGCCCCAACCTGGCTGTTGCCGGGGACCCTAATATAAACCTAATGGCTGAATGGGGTTTCGGGACCTCTCCACGGGTGATACTCACCTGCATGGTGGTACTTTGTGTCTCTGGGTGTTGATCACTCTGTGTTATGTCCTGGTATTGTAAAATTTACTTACTACTACTACTGAATTGTTTTGGTTCCTTTATTGTGGTGCACTTGGCCTGGGAACATCACCCACCAAGTGCCGATTGGTCTATAAAAATATAGGTCTAGCCCTATATGCCTAAAGGAGTGGAAAGGGGTCCTTTACTTTTTTTAAATTTTTTTTTTATCTTGGCCTGGAGTAAGTAAAAGTAAATATAGAAAGAGTTAATTTTTGTTGTTGAAATATGTATCCAGTAATTTCTGTCACATTTTTCTACAACACAGGAGGAAAAGTCACACAATAAACCAGACAAAGATGCAAATCTGAGTGACTTCGAAGAATGGCTAGACGATGATGTCACCCCTAACATTCCAGTTGTGGTTGTTTCGGCTTCCAAACAGGAAGTTAAGCCAGTTTTTAAGAAGACATCACCAAAGGAAACACATGATTTCAAACTTGAATTTGCAGGAAATGAAGAGGTTACAAAACATTTTGATTTGTTTTGTTTAAACTGACAACATTAAAGTCATTATAGAATGTTTTTTTTTAAGATAAGTTTTTATTCATTACGTCAGAAATACAGGACAGACCACTTAAAATGTGGTGAATTCCTGTTGTGAAGAACAATTTGTTTATCCCCTCGCAATTTGTCTTGCTTAAACTTATATCTGGATAAGTTGAGTTTCTTATAAGAAGAACCATTTCTTGAGCGCCTGGTGAGATCTTTTATCAGGTCTGCACTACATATAATGTTTTTACAATTGAGCTTTGACCTCCATGCAAATATTGCCAGTTGGAACCAAATCCCAGATTCACATTGATGCAACAAATTGTAAAATATCAGCCTGACTTTGCTCTGAGTTAGAGGAACAAAAAGAATGACCAGGAAAAGAGCTGAACATCTCATTTCATACATGAATAAGTAGAATACCTAGAATAGGTGAAATCACTGTTTTCTTTTGCATTAATCCTTGAAAGAGCAGTTAGCACGTTGTATTGTGGTTTACAGCTAGGCTGCAGTATCTGTGCCTTTCGATCTATCACATCTATTTCAAAATGAAATCCTCTCAAAATGGGATCCCAGAACCCACACAGGAAGTTTGAAATTGTAAATGTTCAGCATCTCTGCAGGCAGTTGTCACCTCCTGAATTTCTTTTAACCTGTCTATGGGAAAAAACATTAGCTATACTTGATCTTGAGCAGCTTTCCTGACCTGCTATTCTAGCTCACCATAAAAATAATTTTGTATTTCTACTCCTGTGGGTTCTGGAGACCCATTAAGAGTGGAGGAGGCAGAAAAGACCAAACACCCCATAACACGACGCTGTAAAAGGCAACTAATAAGACTTTGCTGAAACTGGATGTGTTTGGTGAAAATGCACAGGTACTACTGTAAACCACAGCATAATTTGTCAACAGCCTTTTTCAGAATGAACACAATAGTTATTGCTAGAACTTTTCCAATTTCCTTAGGCAAACAGTACACACTTATTATTAATGAGTGCTAACGCTAACTTCATATAATTACCGACCAGTCCACACTTTATTGTGTCATGGTCTAGAATCTTCTTTGTCTTTTTTCCTGTATTCCCTTGGTGTATTGGTTATCACACCTGCTCTACACTCAGAAGGCCACCAGAACCTCATTGGGGGGTCTCCATGGAGAAGTAATTAAACCTCTTCTTTCTTCTTCTTTGCGTTCACCAGCTGTAAACTCTGGTGGAAAGTTCTGGTTGTTCATCCACTTCTAGACTGCAGTCCTGTTCCAGAACCTGAGTGTTGCCTGTGCAGCGTTTGACAGATCTGACACATTTGTGTGCAGACTCTTGGTTCCTTGCCTTTCAGGCAGATGCACTCTGACTTTAAAAGATTTAAACCTCAATGGACACCTAAACAGAATACAGCCACAACACTCCCCAGAGTGCCAGCTATGTAACTACCCCTACGAAACTGTTGAACACCATCTCTTTGAGTGCCCAAAACTCAGTGAGACAAGAAGAATGCTACTCCCTCCGAGACCAGACAAGTGGAACACTTTGTACGGAGGAAAAGAACAGCTTGTGAAAACATGCAAATTCCACTACATGGTATTTGGCCAAAGGGAGAAAGCTCATGCGCAGCTGGATCGATAACAACAACAACAACAACAAAGGAATTAAACCTCTGAAGGTCATGAGTTCATTTCACAGACGTATCACTCAGTTCACTAGCTTATTTCTTACAGAGATTCTTGTGGATAGTTGCTGGAGCATGTTCCTGTATGTGCAATCCCTGGCAGCCTTTCTTTGGAGAGAGACTGGGCTAAATAGGGTAACACGGTTCAATGAAAAAAGTCCTCTCAACTTTTAACTTTTCCTTAACAGGGCATAGGCCCAAAGCCAACTCATCAAGTTCCCCTCCCCCTTCAACCCATTTTTTTGCTACTCTCTGCAGCTCCTTTTATACTCTTCCCATATTATCGATCTTTACCTCTATCTCTCTCCCTGTATGTTACCTTGTTGGTTCAAAAGAAAAGATTTTATAGTGGTACCATTAGTAATGTTTTCGTATCTAGCACCAGTGACTGCTCTTCACCTCTTGATTTGGGGGGGGGGGGGCATCTAATATTCTTCTTATGCTCCCCTTTAGTGTTTCTGTTATATTTGAGTTTTTGTGCAGCACCAGGCTGTTTATTACAAGACCGTTTGCAATTTATTACTAATTGTTGTAGTTGTTCTCGATGTTTCTTATCCATGCACATTACTGTTTGGGACTAGAGTTGAATTTTTTAAGTTTGTTATCAGAGTTTCTTCTTCTTCTGTGTTTCATTCAAAGATGTAATTACGTTGTTGCCCATTTACAGCATGGTTTTGATATTTGCACCTTTCGGCCAACACATCTGACTTCTCTGGGCATTTGTTGACAGGGTTAGCCTTCCGGGTTAGTTTCCTGTTATCAGAGTTTGATATCAGACAATGTTCGGACCTTATTTTCCCCCATGTGTATTCCGGAGCCCTATTATGGGGGAAACAAAGAACCGACCCACTGCCTCCTTAATAAGCGTGTCATAAGAGTCCACTAATTAGGGATTTCCTTCAAAGACAGAGTGCATCTGCCTGAGAGGCAAGGAACCAACATTCTGCACACAAATAAGTCACATGTGCACGCATAGCTCAAGTTCTGGAGTAAGACTAGAAGTCCAGAAGTAAACAAACAACCAGAACTTTTAGATAGAGTTTACAGCCGGTGAATGTGAAGGAGGAGAAGCAGAAGACTTTACCTTAGTTGAGTTGATTAAAGAATTGACATTACAGCACTTGGAGCATTCCCATATGCACTCTGTCCCCATCTTCAACAGCCAGCGCAGAGTTCCATTGCTAATGGTGCCAGTCGTAGTCTGGTTGTATATCGTCTTGCCTTTCCTCTGAGTAGTGAGCCGGCCAGAACCCTCTGGTCACACCCAGGTGTATCATTCTCTCCAGGCCATAATAATCTAGTTTCTCTTCTGACCTTTTTTTTTGTGATCATTGTAATTGCTATTATATTTTAAACTGAGACATTTTTATCCCAACAGAACAATTTATGGGATGGAGATCCACATCTTGAAGGCATTTCACGCAGAAAGTATCGCAAGCGACCTGCCTCAGCATCTATTTTTACCTGCCCGCACTGTCCCTACAAATCCAATCGTCACTTCAATGTTCAGAGACATGAACGTCTCGCGCATTCGACCAAGAAACCAGAGTTTAGTTGCAAAGAATGTGGTACATCCTATTCTTTAGAATATCGCCTAAAACTTCATGTCAAGGCGGTCCATCAAGGTGAGGGTCACCATTGCCACATCTGCGCCAGATCTTTTGAAACAATGACCGGTTTGAAATCTCACGTGGTCACCAAACACAAACATGATGATCCCAAGGTCCATCACGAGCCGCCACCTGAACTGACGTGCAAACTTTGTGGGCGAGTATTCTCTACAAAGTCACATCTGCAGAAGCACACAAGCACACATGTCATGATTCAGCCATACCGCTGTTGCGTCTGCAACAAAGCCTTTATGGAGGAACTAGAATGGTTGTCACATCAGAGTAACTGTACAGACTCCTTTACCGTTCAGTGCTGCTTATGCAGTGCCTATGTCTCTACGGCTCATGAACTCATGGCTCACATGGATGTTGTTCACGGACGAGCTGAGTATTCCTGTCACTGTGGTAAGATATTCCCATGGAAAAAGTCTCTTCTGACACACCAGCAAAAGTGTTCTCTGTTCTTAGCAGAACGAAGCATATGATTTATTTACTTAGCTATGGGTAATGTACACCTAAATATATCTTTTTGTTTTGTTTCCTGGATACTTAAACATCGTTTCTCAACTTGGTTTTAAAAAAATGGCAGTTATTCATGTATGATAATGCATAAATTTCATATTCATCGCAGCAAAATGTACTTACATTTATTATTGTTTAAATTATTCTTTTGTTTTGACTTAGTTTTTCTCCTTTCCGCAATCCCCTTTCATTCTGGGAATTATTTTAAAATCTAACCGGGCTTCCATGATCAACCTAACCTTAAATGGATACCAAGATGTGTTCTGAAAAGTAAATGTGATCATCAATCTCTTAGATTATATTTTTTTCATGTTTTGGTTTCGTTATTTCATTTCCAGATGTTTCAAGTTAATACATTTTAGAATAGCTTGTATTTTTATGTGCATGCATAATTAACACTTTTAAGTCCCATAATGTTTCACAGCAGGCACCAAAGGAAAGAAGTTGAAAAAAAAAAAGTAAAAGACCCTAATGTTTTACTGACTGACTGACTTTCTACCCCACCAGGACATCACACAAGCGATAAACACCCGATGACACAAAGTGCCACCATGCGGATGAGGATCACCGTGGAGAGGTCCCAGAAACCGCGTTCAGACAATTGGCCATATTGATGGCCTGCCTATTTTGCGGCCCCTGGCAAAAGCCAGAGTGGGGCTTCAAATAACAAAAAATTACGTCCTAAGAAGGACGTAAAGAATATAAAGTAATGTTTTACTTTCTTCTACTTCTTTTTATACTCAGTGCCACATGATGTTAACCTTTCCAGACATGAGGCCCAAAGCCTAACTGCCCACTTTACCTGAGCTCCTGGGCATCAACATGAAAAAACCAACATGATTTACACAAATATTAGATACATGCAAACAAGTGGTTAGAATAAGTTGAAATTTGGAGACATTGTAGAAAATAGGTTTAACTTTCATCTAGCGCCAATATTCCACCTTTGAGTGCAATTCCACCCAGAAAGATTGGCCTTGTTTCACAAAGTGAGCACAAAATGTTGCTGTTTGAGGGACACGCCCGCTTCTTTTACTATCGATCTAGTTTTAAATCTGTAATTTTCAGGATTCTTCTCATCACTCGAGCTCACACTGACTGTATCACTTTAACTAGGAATGTATTCTTTATGGAATTCTGACTCCTCAGAGTCTAAATCAACCAAAGTATCGATCACCTGTTGGACTGTGAAAAGCCTAGACCTACTTTCTTTTCAAAGTGCCTGGTTCATCAGCCGCTCGTTTTATTCTGAATTTTCAGAATTTTTCCACATCAAACCACACAAAGAAAATCCAGACACCAGTGGGCAGCAATTCGCAATGACTAACCACCAGGTCTGACAATGATTGGCTAGTTATTTTTAGTTTGTGACGCATTGTTTTCATATAGTACGCAAAGTACCGACATTAAGGGACACTGGTTTAGCGGCAGATTAGGAAATTCCCGTAATAGCGAAACATCGGTCTTGTAGAGTTAATCATCATATCAGTTCACAACCTTCTTACTGATGTGCTGCTAATCATTTCTGATATAGATGTACTTCCATGCTAGATGCCAAACTATCCAACATTGCCTATCTTTTTACTTCCTGCCTTTCTTTGCCTCCACTTCTCCTCTTGTTATATTATAATATACCCTCACCCACAGATATACAGTAGAAGTGGCCAGAAGGCAAGCCAGATTTATTTGGTATACTCTGACCAAATATAAAAGATTTAAAAAATACCTAGCATGATGAATGGGATTCAGAGAAAGATCTTATCGTGCATACCATATTGTTTGGGACTGAAATATATGAAAAAGGCAGACCAGACAATACACGAAGAGAATTTGAGAATGAGATTTACAAAGACTGATATCGGACACAATCCAGAGGATAGGACACAGTACAAGTATCTTTATTGTGAGGTCAAGGTCAATAATCATATCCTTGACCTCTGCCCCTCTCTTGGAATTTAAAATGTCTGACAAAACTCTGAGAAGGTTTCAATTTATAGCATACACACTGTATTGATTTTGTTATTTTCTACCCCAAAAAAAATTTCATATTTTTATATCAGTACATATCACTTTGCTTGTAAAATTATGCAGAAGAATTTTTATAACCTTAAAATTGTTTATGTTGTTTATTGTATTCAGTATTAAATTTACTGCATATCATTGCATTTTATTAAAAAGAAGGTGCGGCCTTGAAGATTAATGAAGAAACATATCAGTATCATTTGTTTTTGAGTAAACATTATATTGTACATTTTGAAATTTTTTGAAGATGATGTATCTCGTTTTTGCATTGTGACACTTGGTTGTGAATAGTGATTTTTATGTAAATAATATAAGTTGTGACAGTTGCTTTTAGTGACAGTCTTTAGTTGCAAGGACAGTAAATTCTTATAAAAACTGTGTCATAAGTGTCGGTACATAGGAAAAATAAACATGTCACCAACGCCATTATAAAGGTAATTCCAGCTGTGCTTCACATGTTCAACAGCGGTGGAGAATGCAATTGAAACACGTTTTCAGAACAATGATAGTCATGTAGAGGCACCAATATCACAGCCATGAACCTACCAAGAGACTAAGACATTAATACAATCTAGTATCCAAGAAAGGTGGCTGGATACACACACCAGATTCTTCCCTCAAGACTCGTTTCATCGCTTCTCTAGAGAGAGAGAGACAGTGTATTATATTTTGACTAAGGACAGGGCACAACAGACTTCGCCAACATATGTTCAAACTTTTCTGTGTAGTAAACACGGAGGCATGTCTCTGCAGCGTGGCACCCGAAAATGCTGAGCATATGCTCCAACACTGTCAACTGTATGCTGACAACAGAGAAGCAATCTGGCCTGTTCCAACCACAATGAAGACAAAACTGTATGGTGCACGAGAATATATGAACTGCACGATAGCTTTCATAAAGGCTACCAGCCTCCTGATAGGTTTTCTGAAAGAAGGATCAAAGAAGAAGAAGAAGACTACCATGTTAAAAAAGGGTACAATGCATTAACATCTTCAAATGAACACAGAAGAAGAAGAAGAAGATTTAAATGTAAATAACTTTCGTTTAAAAAAATATTAATTTTTCCTATGAATGGAAACTTATAGGAACCCCCTATATAATCAGAGTTGATTCTTCTAAGATGCCATTTTAACTTCTTGGTTAATGACTCTAATTTGCCTTGTCTCTCATTTTGAACCAGCTTAATATAAGTATCAGGAAATGTCATGGGAAGTAAAGATGGGCAGCATGATGTTGACCAGATAACCCATTGCATATCGATTGGTCTATAAAAATTACATGTGCCTAGCACCTTATTTCAAATACGCTTTCCGCTTGAAAAGAGTCTTTTACCAATTAACTTACTAACATACTCTTAATTATCTTTCGCCTGTTGAGTTTCCTCTACTCTTAAAGTGCAGCTTAGCGCTCAGTAATGCAAACCACTGTTTAATTTCATCACATTACGCCACTCCTGCCTAAAAGACATCTTTTTAGTTTGTGTAAACTTCCAGTGAAACTTTCTGAAGCACATTTGCTTCATTTAAGCATAGTTTTAACTGATCTGGGTTGCCAGCTTCTCCAGCCTTGAAAAAATGCAATCTGAAGTAAAGGCAGCCATATTGCTGATGGTTACCTCACCGGAGTGCGGATGGTCGATAAAAATATTAGGTTAGCATCAAATTGTCAGCATGCCTAAACATGTGCAGTGGAAACCTTTACTAAACTTTCTCACTGTTTGGCCTCTTAACCCGTTCGTCGCATGAGTGCTAATAAACATGGGTCATAAACCCTAGAAATTTCTGAATAGATTCTTAAAACAACAGCTGTTTTACACAGGTAACTAATAAATTGTTGACAAATTTATTTATCTACACTTTTAAAGATTTTCTTTTGAAATATATACATATGTAAAGGAAGTAATCAGGGTGAAGCGTTAAATGGAATGCATTCCTGAGCCTAAAACAAATTTGTATCAGGTGACCTCTATTACTGAGGTTTACAGGAAAATTTTCAGTCAACCTGGCTTAAAAAAAGTTTTTGCATTTACAAGAGAACCCCTCTACAAGTTACATTTAGTTATTATATGCACTTTTGTGCCTCCTAAACACTAGGCAGGTGCACCTACAACCAGTGGCATTTAATAAACTTTTTGAGAACAGGTCACTGGAGCAATGGTGGTCTTTTGAAATTTACAGAGCTGTATTACAGAAGGAAGTGACAAGATTTAATATTTTCAGAGCAATAGGATTAAAGCATTGACCCTGTTTAAAGCAATTAATAACCATTTATATTTCACCCTGGCAGTCACGTTTAAAAAAAAGTATTGAAAAATATTCATACTTCTTCACTTTCACCATTTGTAACTCCGACAGAAAGTTTTGGTTGTTCGTCCACCTCTGGACTTTAGTCTTGTTCCAGAACATGTGTTGTATGCACATCCATTTTACATATTTGACTTGCAGATTGTTGGTCCCTTGCCTCTCAAGCACATGCCTTCTAACTTGAAGGACACCCCCAGTTTTGTCTACTTTTACAGAATGCTTGTTGGGGAGGCAGTGGGTCTATTCTTGTTTTCCCCACAATGGAGCCCCGGAACCCATACGGGGAGAAACATATTCATGCAGATGACAGTTTTTGTTGAGTATTTGATGTCGTAATGGCTTGTCAAGCATAATAGATTTTACAACTATCACTTCTTCTTGTACTCACACTTTAAAGTATCATATATTATTCAGCAGTGTAAGTTACATAGACTTTACCATTAGTATGAATTTCATTGTTGGTGTCTGTTTTAACTTTGAAAGGAAAGATGGTCAGTATTTGGGGTCACTTTTGTGACAGATGACTGTGACTTATTGTTTTTGTCTGGGTTCATTTTTATAGTCTCTTCGTTATAGTCTGTGTTACAATAATATTGTTTTGAAAATAAATTCATAAAATAGCTGGCTCTTATCCTTC